TATGAACCCACTGAATAATTATAATGATAAAAAAAATAATATTTTTAATTTTAAATTTAAGTGATTACATCTACAATATATGTCAAGTTTGTTGAAATCTTTTTTGACACATGTAGCTATGGATGCATGGCATGAATGATTGAAAGGTAATCGGGTTAATTACGTGCCTGTGACCAGTAAATTCGATTAACGTTCTACTAATCCGACAAATTTTAAGGTGAAGCCTACCACGTTTTATTAATAAGTTCGTCGTACCAACCTTTTCTCATTATTTTATTTAAACTCCTTTTGGGAGTGAATGCGATGCGTAAATTTTGTATAAATTTTCGGTCGGATGGAGATTGTCGCAGATAGCAATATGGTTTGACATTCCATGGACAGTGGGAAAGGTGCAATGCGATTGTCCTTTCGTGGATTCTTAACTTAGTGAGTCAAGACTTATCAGCTAGGATTGTTTTTGCATCAAATTCAACTACTGTTTGGAAGGATATCCAAAATTTGAAAGGGGCATCATCTGAGAGGGTCATATTATGAATGAAGCTTCTATACAAATCTAGAATATCATAGAATATTTTAGGGATATAGTTTTCGAGGAAGAAGCTCCGAGAAAAAACATCGACTTGCTTTAGGCAAAGCCTCTGCTCGTATTTTTACCTTTCGAAATAAAAAAAACATGTTAAACTTTAAATTTTGTTATTTATAATAATTATTTTTTTTATTAAATTTAATTAATAGAAAATTTACAATTTTTGAATAATTTTTTATTGTTTTACATATTTAATATATTTTTAAATTATTTTTTAATATTTGATCATTTTTGAAACATTTTAAACTACTTTTAACCTTTTAAATTTAGGGTGTGTTTGAAAGTTGAAAAATATTATTTGAAAAATGTTTTCCTTATTTTCTTGTGTTTGATATCTGAAAAATATTTTACAGTGTTTGATAGTTGTAATTGATTTTATGAAAAATATTTTTCAGTATTTGATAGTTGTAATTGATTTTTTCAATGCAATTCATTTTTCTAGCTCATTTGTATTTTCTGTAAATTATTTTACCATATGATTTTTCGTAAGACATTTTTCCTAACTTTTCACTTTAAGAGTATAAGTACTCAAAAAATTATTATTTCATACATTTAATATTAAATCAATATTTTAATATCATTTTAATAAAAATATTACTTATTAAAATATTTAATATACATATAATATAATTTTAATAATATTATATTTTTAATATCATAGTAATATATACTCATATATATTATAATAATATATGATATTATATTTTTATTATACGTAAATTAACTAATATCAATATTAAAAAATAACATATTTGATGTCAATTTAATGAATATTTATTTTTGTTAATTAATTCAATTTAAAAAATTGAATGTCAAAAGAGTAAAAAGAAATCAAAGATAAAAACGATTATATTACAAATTAATTTAATTTTAAAATTAAATTTTAACCTATTAATCCGTGCATGTGGTGGATAGGTTCATGGAAGAGCCTAGAATCTGCATTAGCAAAATTGTTGATTACATTGCACCACCTATAATTTGTTGTTTTGAGTGCATAATTAATTAACTTTTAGCCATCTAAGGGTGTGTTTGGTTGGGGGAATGTGAGATTCTCATGTGAATAAAATCTACATTCCCCCGTTTGGTTGGCCGGGAATGTCATTCCCGGGAATCTTACATTACCAATAGTGGATTTTTTGGGGTATATTACAGGGAATGTCATTACATCTCTTTCCTTAGGTATTGTTGGATTACCGACGTTTTGGACTAAAGTGTCCTTAAAAAAATTTCTTTTAAAAATATCCTTATTCTGTCATTGAATAATAAAAATTCTACAAAGGTTAAATTATAAATTTATCCTTAAACTATTTTAAATTTATAAAAAAAGTCTATAATTAAAATTTTTATATGAAGTTCATGGGTTAAAATAAATTTTTACCCTTTCATTAAATATTTTTATATTTTCAATTTTGAAAAAAAAATTATATAAATTTTATGAATTTAATTTTTTTTAAAGAAAATATATAAATATTTTTCAACTTGTTAAAAAAATAAATATATAATAAGGATAATTTGGTCAAATATACATTCCAATAATCATTTATTTCTCTAACCAAACATGATAATCTTACATTCCTGCTAAACCAACCAAACACAAAATACAACATTCTCAATAATCATATTCCCTGGTAATATTTTTATTCCCACTGGTAATATTACATTCCGTGAACCAAACACACCTTAAATTCAACACTCCTAGCATAAGTATTTGATTCTTACAATTTCAGAGATTTTATTTACATTATTAAATGAAAAACTCTCATTAATTATTTTTAAAAAAATAATCCTCGTGTCAAATTAGTTAGAAAATTAACCTTCAAATTGTCCAAATAGGATATTTCGAGTTTTACAAAAAGTGAAATCAAACTTTATGTTTTACGAAAAATAAATTTTATGTATTTATTATTGTTTTTATCTAATATTAAATGACTTTATTTAAAAAAATTGATGTGTCTCAAGTCTTATAAATACAAGATTCATTTAACGGGTTTTATATATCACAAGATAATCCTATGTAAAATATTTGAGAGTTATTTTTTTAATTAATTTGACACAGAAATTGTTTATCAAAAATAATTAATGAGGGTTTTTTCATTTAATAATATCGATTTTATTGGTCCACCTGCGGACCTGCCCATCCAAGCCAACATCAAATCATCTTTTTATCATAATTAAATTAAACCTTTTTATAAGATTTATAAATTGATTAAATAATTAAGGATATTTAAATTATTTTATTTTACACGAATTTAAATTTAATATTTATCTTAAAAGTATAATATCTCTTTATTTAATAAAAATAAAAAGAAAATAATTTTTTACATTCTATCTATGCATCTCTTCATTTAAGTTAAGACTCATAAAATAAAACTGATGTATCTCTTCATTTAAGTTAAGACTCATAAAATAAAACTGATGGAATTATAAATAAAAGTGAACTTATTCTTTTGACGGTTAGTAAGCTATAAATTTTAAATTTATGATTATTTATTTCATATAACTAATTGCAAATTGATATAATTAAAAAAAAGTCGTGAAAAATAAATCGGAAGGGGTAATATGGCCAGCATCTCCGGCATGCTTGAGGGATTGGGCTTTAGTAAACTATTTACTAATAATGATAGGGATGCTAGTAAGCACAGGAGTTAGTTATAAAATCTTATTATATATACATATTTTATTAAAATAAATTAAAAATAAATAAATATCATTTAAGATAAATATAATTTTAAAAATTAGTGTTTTTCGAAAATACTCTGTAATATTTTTGATAGAATTATCATCGTAATTAAAGATGGGGAGAGGTTCAATGAGAGAGATTTGCCAGTTGCCACGATCTCTGCTGCGAGATTAATATTCCCTAAAATGAAGCTGTTTATAATTTTGCTTTAAATAATGATAAATATTGTAATGTTGAACAACAAACATAATCCGCAAATCTCGACCGTCCACCAAGATAAGCGTATCCACCGATCACACTGTTATTCCCCCTTTTTATGATAAAAATTAATTAATACGAATATTGTATCTTTCAAGAAACGGCACGTTGCGCTTAACCCAATATATTAAGACTAGATGGAGCTTATGGCGGGACCACTTAACTGTCCTTAAAAAATTTATGTAAATTATCAGTTGCATAGTAATTTACGAATGCCTAAGCTATACCATTTTTTACAACCGTTTTTTTATGAATAAATATTTAAAAGTATTTTTTGATTTATTTTGGTGTCTAAAGTTATAAATGTTATTACTTTAAGTGTTCGAATCATCAACGATATTAATTCTTTTGTTAAATGATAAGGATAATTTTTAAAATTTAAAAATATATATTTAAAAAAATTGAAATAACCTCAAAACTTTGAAAACATTCATTTCAACCCTTAAAACCATGTCGACCATCTCCCTCTGCCGTCGACGAAGCTTCACCTGAACTCACTTCCCTCGACGACCGAAACCTTATGAAATCGTGATCGATCAATGACGAATCAACGTTTTATACCCTGTAAATCCTAGGATGAAAATCGTGATCTTATGTGATTTCGACGGTCTATCGACGACAACTATGTCGACTTATGACTAGGAGGATGATAGTGACTACATCGACGACGGTGGTCATGAGCTGAAAGGCGATGGCGACAGGTTAAGATAAAGATTTGAGGATTTTATAGATTTTGAGGTTTTTTTCATAATTTAAGAAAAAATATTTTTTTAATAAATATGATAATAATTTTAATATTTTTCTTAAAAGTAATTTTCAAAATCACTTGATTGTGACATGTCACTTAACGCGAAAAATTAACACTATTGATTGTCTGAACACCTAAAATGGTAATGTTTATAAATTTAAGCACTATGATGAGTCAAAAAATACTTTAGACACCTATTCATAAAAAATAGTATAGTTTAGACACTTATTTAGGTATTAAGCCTATATTACATTAAATCAAATGATACTTAAAATTTTCTTTAAAATGTTTAATTTCAAACTAACTCGTGAATTAATTAATTATATATATATATATATATATCACATAATTTTATAATAAGGGAATAAATTTATAAAATTTTAAGAAGAAATAAATTAAAAAAAAAAGATAAAACATATTTTTAATAAAAAAATATATAAATTAAAATATATATAAATTTTAAATTATCGCAGAATCAAATGTCCCCATCCATCCTTATCCATATGAGGGTGCTTATCGTAAGCTCTTTGGAATATTTGGTAAGTCTTCAGTTTAGGTGGATAGATCTTTGAGCATATCTAATTTTAAATAATAAAATCATAGTTTACAAGTTTTTTTTCTTTCTTGTTTGATATTAAAAGAAACCCTCTAGAATCAGTGGGTAAATCTACTTTCCAAGTTGAAAATCTGCAAGACTTCAGACGGAGGATACTGGAACTCGACTATGTTTAAAGCTGGGCCACAATCGAGGCTCGCCGTCTTGTCCGCGAGGCCGTTCGCAGCTCTGGGAACATGTTCCAGTGCAGATCAGTATAGCTACGTATCCTTTGAACGATAGCTGAGTCGTGGGGGGTCGCGTTAGAGTTAAGAATATGCACCGCTGATGCACTATTAGATTCGACAATAAAATTATGACCCATCTCCCAAGCAAAATGAAGACCCTCTAGAATTGCCCAAAGTTCCGACTGCAAAACAGTTGTGCAGCCGATAGACCTTGTGTAGCCTTTGATCCATTCACCGTTCGCATTTCGGATTACGCCACCGCTCGAGGCTTCCATCGACGAAGGGAGCACAGCGCCATCCGTATTAAGTTTTAGCCAGCCTGGTGGAGGTGGCTTCCAAGAAACCAGCTGCTTAGCCGTATTGGTTTTCTGCTTTCTTTGAGACGTTCTCATAATCGATCTCGCCCATGCTTTAGCAATGAAGGGCATGTTTGATCAATGAAACTTGAATTGTGGCAATGAAGGGTGTAATAACCAATTTTTTAGGTAAATCAATTATTTATTATTTTAAAAAATAATTATGACTTTTATTTTAGAAAATTGATGATTTTGGAATTGATTTGAATTAAATTGAAAGGGAGTCGCCATCGATCTTTGGGTTAGGTAGGTCAAATACCTAAAAACGACTTTTAAAACAATTAAAAAAAAATCATTTTATAAGACAAAATTTGGTCTGCGTCACCAAAGATTCGATTAAATGGATTCGAGAGTCAGTTACGTGTGGGGAAAGATTAGCACCTTACAACGCCCAAAAACTGGTACTGTGTCGCTTACACGTTGTCGTAATGGTGGAAGTTACAAATCGAATATAAAGTTAAAAGATGATCCGTTTATTGAAATGTAATTAATTTACTTCGAATTAATTAATTACAGAAAATTCTTTAACTTGAAAGGAAATATCGAAATTAGCAATCCTCTATTTGGAAAGCTAACTTGACTATTTCTTATCAATAAAAGAATATTCCCTCATTAATAAATATACGAATCGAATATAAATGAAAATCGACAATTTGCATTCGCATACAATGAAATAAATTGTGAATTAATACAACATACATTGTATTAGTAAAATAAATAAATTAATTAGTATAATAAAATTGATTTATTTCAAGTTCGTGTTTATTCGAATGTCGTATTGGATTGTACCACTTCGATCAAGTGATACTTTCCACGCCCGTTCTACAAATTCATGTTCTCGAAAAACAAATACAAGTAAAAAAAACTTAGTAATAAACTATTAACATAATATATGATATAATAAACTACACAATACATTTTAAAAGCATATACTCGATAAAAAGAATAATATATAATGTCATAGCAACACTAACACATATCTTAATCATCATTTGAACTTAAATAAAATTCATGTAAAAATAATAAGACAGAATGTAAATAAAAATAACCATAGAAATAATATAATATATAACAAAACAAATTCGAAATAATAAACTTATGATAATCACTAGTTATGGGAATAAAAGCAGAATAATATTCGTTCCAACATTGAAATAATTAATAATATCTATAAAATAAAGAACCAACAAAATAAAGGATCAATGAAAAATAAGTGACTGAAATATAATAGAAATTAAACTATTGAACATGCAATGGTATGTACCCTAAGTCCAACAGTAGTCAAAGTAAGGGCAAAAACAAAAGATTTTTAAATCTCATGGCAAAATTCCAGTATACACAAAAATACGATAATAAACTACAAAGTGATCAAATCGTAAATAATATAAAATTTAAAGCTCGAAATGAAACATATAAAAATATTATTTAATGATCAAATCAAGAGTTTACAAAGATGTAGGGACCTACACTGTGATTTACCCTAAAATGTAAAAAACGCGTGTGATGTTACAAAATAAAGAGGACTAAGGTTGCTATTAAACCCTAAAGCCCAAAACAGTAGGGTGAGTTTACAAAGTCATAGGGATTAAAGGTAAAATTATCCCTTTATATTAAAAACACGCATGTGAGATTTCAAAATAACAAGGACTAAAGTTGCTATTATCCCTTAATATTTAAAAACACAGAGAGAAAATTACAAAAGGCGAAGGACTGAAAAAACTAATATCCCTTTTTCTCTAAGTACACAGCCCTTAGCCCTTTTCAGAACGACGCCGTTCGGCGTCTGTAATATTACCCACTTAAAGGGTTATTTGAAAACCCTAACTCATTTCAACCGATTTTCTTTATTTCCATCTCCCTTTCTCCTCACTCATTTCCCTCGTTGCCAAAGGAGGAAAGCACAACCCCGACCATCATGAATCAGTGACCACGGGGTTACACGACAAAAGCCCCTACACTATCCCTTTATCCTCTGTTTAAACCGCTCAAAACCATCGAAACCTTAACCCTTCCCAAACCCTAAACCAAAAAACGATGACCCCTTTTATTTACCTTCGGTACGGTGGCCTAGCTTTGGTCTCGGTGAAGCTCACGACAGAGGTAGATCGAAAGGTAATCTCTTCAATCCTCTTTTTCCTTTTATTTTTTTTGTTCTTTTTTTTCAGGGTTTGCTCTTTTCTTTTCATGTTTTACCAGAATCTCCCCCTTTTAAAATGGTGGTTGTATGATTGATTTAAGGGTTATTTTGAGTGAGATCATTAGATCTATGGCGGTAGGGGACACATTTCCAGATTTATCGGGATTAAATCCTGAAAAATTGGGATTTAGGTACTAAAAAAATAGGTTTTTGATTTGGTTCACTATTATTAATTGCTTGTTGATTTGTTGGCTGTTGGTGGTGGCTTTGATCGGCTTCGATGGCGGCGGCGGCGAGAGGAAGCTTGGCTGGGCAGCTATAACGTTGGGGCATGGCGGCTAGAAAGTTGGAGAGGCGGCGACTGAGTTTTGATTTAGGATTTAGAAAACCCTAAAATTACTGGGTTTGTCACATGTTGGGCTCGGGTTGAATCCAGCCGGGTTCGGGCCTCAGATCTTGGGTCTACTATGTGAGATTGGGTTAGCAGCTGGGTTAGATAGGTTTGGCCTCTATTGCTTGTAATTTGGGGTTCTAGCGGGCCTACAAATGTGTAACAAAATAATTAATAATAATAATAAAATAAATAATAATAATATTAAATAATAAAAAGAAGACCATGACAAAAACGGGTGTCTACAAAGGGCATGTTTGATCAAGTCTTAGAAGCTTTCAAAAACTATTTTTTAATTGTTATATTAGTTAATTTTTTAAGTTATAGTTGATAATTGATATAAAGTCATATATAAATATAATATAAGTAGATAATATATACATAGAGCTAAATAGTGTTGAAATGGTAAGTTGGTAAGGACATCTTCTGGAATTTGCTGCACTCGTGTCTCACCTATAAAATTTAAAAGGATCTAGTGTCACCTATTATTTCATAGCTCGAGATTTAATAATTTAAAATATCATTAAGTTATAGAAAAATATATATTAAGATTCATGAAATATGGATATATGAAAATATTAAATTTACGGTGGATTAAGTTTTAAATTGATTAGTGTTATTATTGTAACAATATGCATAATATTATGATAATATTTATATATTAGACAAATAATAAATCCAAACAAATATTATTATCAACAGTGAAAGATAATTATCATAAATACAAACATAAAAAATACATATAACAACTATGACTTGTTGATAAACTAACAATGCTACAACAATTATAATAATTATTAAAACCTGTTGATATCTCATCTGATGTTCCAAAGTAAGGATAAATCAATAAGATAATCAAACAAATGTCATTTGGATATGAAAAATACAGTGTCAAATTTAACTCTGATAAAAAAGAAGAAGAAAAAGATGTGTTACAAGGTAAAAATCTTCTAACACTTTTATATGAGAAGAAGAAGAAGATTAATATTAAAAAAAACATAACTCAAATTGTAACATTCTAAACCCGATTGGGCCTAAAGTGCCACACTGGGTTGTGGAGACAACCCCTGATCCTCAAAACCTATTCATTTTCTTTCAAAATGTACTAAATGGTATCATAATAAAACATAAACAACTGTTATAAAAACATTTTTTTACAAAATCGGAGCTACGTGACGCATGATTTAAATCAAAATAACACATCTTGAAGTTTACAACTCAAATACATAAGTAAAGTTCCATGAATACACATGCCCACTAAAGCTACAGTACTGTACTCTTTCAGAGATGCTGGAAGTCCTATAGCGACGGTGCTCTACGAACTGCTCAAGCTAAGGACTTGCCAATGGAAAGCATCCAAAGGCTGAGCTTACAAGCTCATCAGTATAATCGCTAATATAGAGCAACATAAGATCTCCATAAACTAAAGCATACTAGAGACATAATACTCAGCAGTAGGTACAAGCATGATCCCAATCAGTGCTACCTACGTAAAGTCCTCAGTTATATCCCTCGAATCTATGTCTTATGTTTCCCTTAGTCTTCGTTAAGGGCCTTGCCATGAGTATACAAATACTAAGTCTCTAACCTCATTATCATCTTATAATGCATCACCATGCCAAATACAATGAATGTACCTGGTATCACAGAGACGCTAGTACTATCACTCAACAATAAGTAAGCATCGTGATGTAGCTCGGGGTCACATAGCATCACGGAACTCAAACCTATGTTTGCTTAGTAGATGTACCTTGGGTAGACCTGGGTTACACAACATCAACATCTCCCAAGTATCACAAGTGAGGTTCGGGTCATATAGCATCGACACCTCCCAATACATTAGGCTAGGTTTGGGTCACACAACATCGATACCTTGCCTGGCTAGTCTACTCCTTTTGAGTACTCAGAATGTGTCTGGGTCACATATCATCAGTACCATGTTCAACTAGTGACTAAAGTGCATCTTGCACTGACTTGGATATATCCGGATATCCTATGCACACAAGACGATTGTCATACTACTAAAGTAACTCGGGTGTCCTCACCGTTTCCAGAGTTACACACAAGGGCATAAGTCTTATGGAATCTTACCTCATAAGACTCTTATGGTTATCACACAATTATTATTATCTCATTATTATTATAAGTCTTTATTTAAAGCTAACGTCTTAACACATGTTAGTCGATGCCCCTCTAAGGAAATCAAAGTAGCTTAGTTACTCATTATCGATCTTGCTGAAGTCAGGTGAGGCCATTTCCTCTCACCTGAACTATCTCGCTCGTCCTCTCACCTAGGATGTTAAGGAAAGGTTAATTAGCACTTAAAGGGGTATTTTAGTCATCTATGACTTCAAAGAGATCTTTAAGTGTTTCACGATTTTCTGTCGATTATGCTGGTTGTTCACCGATTGAATCACTAATTAGGCCGATCCTTGACTCGAGTTCATTACTGGGTAACAACACTCGTAACGCTCTTATCGTACTTCTCCTAAAATCCTTGAATTAGTGGAACGACTTATCCATTCCCAATTCACTGATGTTCTC